TGTGTGTGTGTGTGTGTGTGTGTTACCTGTTGCTGAGCATGAACTCATCTTCACTCTCAGCTGCCGTGCTGTCGCTCTCCAGGTCGTTCAGCCTCCTCTTCTTCCTGCTCCTGACAGAACGAGCCTGGCTTCTGATTGGCCGCTGGCTCTCCTTCCTGTCCTCTGACAGGATGGGAGTGACGTCTTTGCTGCGCTCTGTTCCTACATCAGAAAAATCTGAGTTAACACAACCTAACGTCGGGATTTAACCAGGTGAGTCTCATGTTTGAGAGAGTCCTGATCAAAAGAGTAGTGACACACAACACTTTTCAAATATACAAAGAATGACAAGAAGAAAAGTGACACAGACAGAAGACTCTGTTTCTATCTGAGACAGGAAACGATGAGAAACCATCGAATGCTGCAGTTCACTCACCAGCACAGAGGTCGGTGATATCTTCCTCTATAGCCTCATCGATCGCATCGTCAAAGTCGTCAAACCTGAAACACACGTTTCCATGATGAGATTATTAATCCAGCTTTTGATACTGTAAGAGTTCAAATCATTGTAAATAAATAAAAATGGATAAAGTAAAGATTAAATAAAATAAAGATGGACTTAATCAGTCGTGTGTTAAAATGAGTTCAGACCCAACCACTGTTCAAAAACTCTCTGAAACCAGAGACAATCAACAGATTTGATTCTGTGCAGAATGAATCCACAGAGTTTAATATGCAAACGTAAGAAGAACTCAACAACTGTTTGAACCCCCCCCCCTCACCTGTAGCTGATGTGCTTCCTGGTTCTGGTCGATCTTCGGCCCAGATTTTTACTCTTTTTGGAGTCTTTCTTCTTTGTTGACTTCTCCTCCTCTTCCTCGTCTCCCTCCTAAAGTAGTAAAATAAAAAAACTTGTGTTTCTCTGGATAAATCTGATAAATCAACTGTTTCAAAGAAAAGTCTTATGAGGCATGAAACCGCTAATTTCCTTGTCACAGTTACAACAGTTTGTGAAACCACATTTCATTTGATCGTCACAACAACTTAACATACCAGAGTTGTTGTGTATCGTTCTATAACGATGAAAATCTCCACTAATTAAAATCATCTAAAAACTCAGTATAACAATAAACTGCTCAAAAGTGTTTACTCACCGGAATGATGTTCTCCACACTGATTCCCACATACACCAGACGCTCTCTCCTGGACAGAGGAGAGAGACGAGGGTCAATACCCATGTTATTGTTATTATAAGTGTGTGTGTGTGTGTGTGTGTGTGTGTGTGTGTGTGTGTGTGTGTGTGTGTGTGTGTGTGTACCTCCTCTCGGCTCTCTCTCTTTTCTTCAGAGCACTGTCCAGATTCTGCAGCTGCTCCTCCAGTTTCTCACACAACAGTTTCTGAAGGGTAAAAAAACCCAAAACAATTCATGAGGGTCGGGAATCGAAACGGATTCAAATTGATTGGATTCAGAATCACAAGGTCTCGATTCGATTTCTGATTCTAGATCAGTTCAGCTCAGGATATTTTATTGTACAAGAACATATTTGTGTTCAGACACTGAGATGAGAGGCAACTCCCAAACTCACTATAGCTTCTGTTATGTAAAATGTCACTCCTGGAAAATGGTGTTGATTAAAAGATCGATTCGTCCTTTTTATGATATTGAAACTTTTAAATGAAGATCAATTTTAATCAAGAAATCAGCTCTACATTCATATCTTCAGGCAACAGAACAATAACTAACTGTTGAATAACTAACACTGATAGTTCTACAGTTTGATAACAGATGTGTGACACACACACAGCTTACATGTTGACAGGGCGGACAGAACCACTCTCCATCTGGAATCAACATGAGCGGTGGACGCAGACAGGCGGTGTGGTATCCACTGTCACAAGAGTCACACAGCAGGATCTGAGAACACACACACACGAACACACACACGCACACGCGACAGCTGTGAAACTTGAACCCACACATCACTGCGTTAAACAACACATAAATAATAAAGCCATTACATTGCTTCATTGTGTATTTACTTGAGCCTTCATGATAAATGTGTGCAAAGGATCAGAAGTTTTATTTTATCAGTCAGTCATTAAACAACAGGTATGAAGAAATACTAGTTTTGAAAAGTCATTTATTGAGTCCTGTATCGTGAAAATGATACCAGAGCTCAGAAGTGTGTGAAAACATCTGTAGGAGTCTTGTTACCAGCTCAGGGTGGTTGGGCAGGCCACAGTGACTGCAGGCATCCTCACTGGGAATCTCCTCTGATTTACAGGATTCTTCAGAGTCGCTCCCTCCCTCGCTGTCCTCATCTTCTCGTTTCCTCCCTCTGTCCTCCACCTCCGTCCCCTCGTTCAGTTTACGTCTCTTCGAACGAATGTTGGACCATCGGGGACGTCGATGCCTTCGTTTTCCCTGAAAATGCAACAGAGGAAAATAAATTGTCAAACAGAAAAACAAGTTGTTAGATTCCCTCTCAGGAGACTTTTAGAGTGATTACCCTTCGTTTTCTAATTTGCCCGGCCACTTCTGCTTTTATGTCTTTCTTTGTAGCTGAGCTCTGCTCCTCTTCATCCTCTTCTTCATCCTCATCCTCCTCTTCTTCTTCCCTAGTTCTGGGAGTCAGTGCCTGTTTTTTTTGTGGTTTCTTTCTCTGGCTCTCCGCCGCCTTCGAGCTCGGCCTGCAGGTTGGCAAAGCAGATGATCTTCAAGAAAAAAGGTGTCCGAATCAAACCAGCTGTATCTGACATTACAATGGGAAAAGAATATATTTTCAATAACTTCCACACGTACCTGCAAATCCTGGCAGACCTCCTCAGCTGCCTCCCTTCCTCTTGGGCCTCCTGCTCCCTCTCTTTCTCCTCCTCTTTTCCACCTTTCCTTAACTTGTTTCTCCTGTGGGGGGGAATCTTAATCTTGAGCCTGATTCCTTCTTTCTGGAGCTCAGAGGATGCCTCCTCCAGGGGACCCTGCTTCCCCTCTGACCGCAGCCCAGCGTCCTTAACCCTGACCTGGGCAGCCAGCTCATCATTGACCATGTCTCCCTGGTGGTCGTTTTCATTTCTCTGTTCAACTTTTAGAGGAGGAACGCCGCCCCCTGATTCTGCCTCCATCTTCCCTAAAGTGCTCTTACTCTTTTCATTGTAATCCTTACTTCCTTCCTCTGTCCCAGACACTTCTCCTTTCCTCTCCTCCCTCTCGTCCACGCCATCATCTTTCTGGTGACGACTGCTGTGCGCAGTTTTTGTCTTCTCTGACGGTTCCTCTGTGTTTATTTTACACGGGTCTTCTGTCGTCTGTCTCTTGGGTTCCTCTGTGGACTGAGACAGTGGAGAAATGCTAACAGCATCCACTTCTCCCTCTGCAGCTTTAGGTGCTTGATCAGACTTTAAAGATGTCATTGGCAGCTTTCCGGGTGTTCGAAGAGCGGAGGATGTTGTTACCGACATGTCACCTTCAACAGGTCCCTTCCTTACCAGCACTGACTGCCGGCTCACCTCCCGCTCTTCCTCCACAACTCTGGAGCCCCAGTGCTCTACACTTGGTCCATTTGGTTCCTGTTGCTCAGCGCCAGGGGCTCTGTGACGCTCAGACGGACTGCGGATGACCCCTATATGACCTATTACACCGACTTGACCTATGACCCCTATGACTCCATTCTGTCCGTCTTTGTGGGGCAGGAGCACAGACGCTCTCCCATTCGTCAGTTCTTGCTTCGATGCACTGACCACTAACTGCTGCTGTTGTGACATAGCCAAACCACAAGAGGGTGCTACAGAGTTCAGTAACTTGCCCTCTCTCCCATGACTGTCCTTGCTCTGGATCACTGAGGGGTTACACACAATAATACTGCTGCTGCTGCTGCTGCTGCTGTTGTTGTTGTTAAGGTGGCTGCTCTGGTAGCTCTCTGCGAGCTTCAGCTCCCTCTTCTTCAGTGGTATCTTTGCCTGCTGGTTGCTCCTGACGACGGCCCGCCCTGCCTCCTCTTCCTTGTTAACTTCCTGTTTTATCACAGTTGTGCATGGTGCCATGACAACCGACACAGTGTTTTTGGGAGCGTCTGCTTCCCTGGATTCAGATTTGACAATGGTGGTGATGGTGCTGACCCGATTATCGAACAAAGGGGGTTTGTGGTCCGTCCTCTTTTCTTTTACCTCAGCGTCTGTGTTCTCCCCCTTGATTGACTGCATCTGCTCCTCCTTTAGCACTACAAAACAGAAAATGACTGAATAAATAAACTTCTCGAGACAGAAATCGTGACAGGGACAGAACAATAGAAGATCCGCTGGCATAAAAGATGAGAATCCAATGAAAATGCATAATAATAACGTATTGTATCTGGCAGGTTCCGGTTTGCTCGTGTCACACTGACAATTCAACAAGCTGGTGCACACTGTTTTGAAAACTGTTGAGGTTGGTATGGGCCAAATCTATTTTTTCGTTTTTTTCCTCTGACAGCTGTTTCACTCAACAGGTTATATTTAGCTAATTCATAATTGTATTTTTTTATCTCTGTACCTGGTGTGAGGGGTTTCTCTTCATTTATGGGGTCAACCTTCTTGCTCTCAGCAGGTTCCTCTGTGCTCTTGGAGGGTTCGGGGTCAGTACTTCCTGTTACCTCATCCCCTAAATCATCACGACAAACACACACAAATTAAACAGTGTTATTATGATGATGATGATACTACAGAGGAAGTACATTTAATTAAGATCAGATTTTACAATAAAAGCCTTTTTCAGTAACTGTTTAATATCAGTTGTAAACATTTTGGCAGATGTTGTCATTCCTTTTTAATTCGAGATATCTTTAGTTTTATTCTTCCATTCGCTGCACCTTTCTCTGTGGGGCTGTTGCTCCTGGATACAGTGGATCCAGCCTGGTTCTGGTCCCGCTCCTGATTCAGGCCTGGACTGATCTGAGCCTTCAACAGGTCCAGAGCCTCAGCCAGATCGTTACGAGTCCTGATAACACAGATTGGAAAAGAGGCTCAAACCAGATAGAGAACTACAAAGAAGTAGAATTGGAATAGATGTAGAATGAGGTGGACGGATAAGACACTGCAGTCTATCATCTTGCACAGACAGATACTTAACTTTCAGAAGTGAAGAGGAATCTACTTTAATGTTGCACTAAGCCAAGGTTGGTGCATACATTCGCATATGTTCTAAATATATTTGTTTTGCCGGTGCCACAGTAACACTGTACCTGACAATGCACTGCCAGGTGGATCCGTCCAGATCGTCCTGCTCCTCCGTGTACAGCCGGATGTTCTGCTCGTGGTCCAACTGAAGCCAGTACATCAGGCCCTGTCGGTCCCGACCTATCGGCTGCAGACGCATCTTCTCCGGGTCCTCCTCATTAACTGCCATCTTGAACTTCAGGTTGTCATCAAACTGACACTCGCACAGATACTGAGAGGAGGAGGAGGGAAGAGAAGAAGGAAGGAGGTGATAAAGAGAAGGTGACTGTGGTTGCAGAAGTTTCACTCCCACTAGGTACATTAGATGTGTCTTAAATCTGAGGCTGCATTTGAAGACCAATTGTGTTAGAGCAGTGTGACTAGTTTCCCATTTCAAAGCCAACAAATGCCTCCTGCAACCCCCAAAGAGATGAAGGCTCCATGCCTCTCAGAAAATCCTCTGAAGACCAGTCAGTTTCATATTAGTTTAGCCTTGGCAGTCTATGCAGCCCACAAAGACTGCCTACTTCATGGGCTGCGTAGAGAACGGCCTCTGAAGGAGTCAACACTGAATTAAGCTATTAAGTAAAAACAGGTCATGTCGTACTTTGAGGATGCTCGACTTGCACTCCATGGACATATCCTGGTAGCCCTTCTGTTCCAGCTCCCACGCCCAAGTACTGTTCAGCTCCTGGCAAACCTACAGGAAACAATGATTAGATACTGTCACCATGTACAAGTCAAGTTCTCTGTCTAATTAAATCTTTTCTCATATCAGAAGGTGAGGCTGTAAAGTTAGTGAGACAGTCACACACACTCTCACTCTCTCACACACACCTTAGCCAGGTACTTCTCCCACCGGTCTGTCGTTACAGACCTCCCAAGTTTTCTGAGCAGCTTCACGTGAAGCTCCACGAGGGGTTTAGGGACTATAAAACAAACACAGACACAGTGATTAGAAACATAATACTGTTTGTCATAAACTTTCAAACGCAACTTCAAGTATTCATTCAGACTTGAACCGGTTGTTTCTGGAGCTTATGAGCGAATTTAGCAGATTTTAAATGCATCAAGATGAGCACCAACAGGAGGAACACTACAAGATGTGTTTTTATATGCACTACCTAGTGTACTTACTGGATCTTAACTTACACTCAGCTGTCAGTTTATTAGGAACACCAAGATAAAACTAATGCAGTCTAATACAACTGTCCTGCAAAATAATAATTCTCCAATCCTTCAATATTCTGTGTTAAAATGGTGCTGATTGTACTTTATGCTCATTTTGCTCGGATGCATCGTGTTTCCATTGATGTGTGGTGTGTTTATGTTGACAGGTGTCCCTTTTGTTTTGTCCAACCCATTCAAATTAATGAGCTTGTCAACAGACACACCTCTTTGTAATGTAATACAGATGAACAGCAGCGCAAACTAAAGGTCTACAACATGATCACACAGTTGAAACAACACCTGTTTAACAGTTTCAACAAAAACTCAGCTGCACCTCCATCTGGAACTCTCCCCAAACAAACCAGAGAGACTGCACTGAACTGTCCACCTTCAAACACTACTGAAAACCCTTTCAGAACAGCATTTACCTCACATTTCAATGTGTGATTGTCATGTGTATTTAATTTGTATTTGCTTTTATCTGCAATCCTGTAAAATTGTTTACATTGTTGAAAGCACTAAACATCCTTCCATTATCTACACTGCGTATCCTTTGAGAGTCGCAGGGGGAGCTGGAGCCAACACCAGCTGACGTTGTATTTGGGCGAGAGGCAGAGTTCACCCTGGAAGAATCGCCAGCGTATCAGGACAAACACACGGAGACAAAGTACCTCCACTCTCACAATCCCAGTCAATTACAGTCAAAAAGAGTCTCCAGTGAACCTGACCCCAATCTGCATGTTTGGACCGTGAGAAGAAGCCGGAGAAAACCCACAAAACACAGGGAGAACATGTAAACTACAAACAAATGAGCCATAGGGATTCAAACCAGGAACCTTCCTGTATGAGGCAACTAACCACTGCATCACAATGTGTAATTATTATTAATAATTATATATCAAGTAACTTGACTTGGCTGATGCAGTTTTAACCAGGTGTCACTAATAAACCTCTCGTTGCCCTCGTGATGCTGTGGTGTCCCAAAAATCCCACAGACTTTAAACACAACCACAGAAATCAGCCTCATATGAGACGTTTAAGGACCACTTCAATATGAAGGAAATTCCAGTTCCACAGTAACTGTTTTCACATCATCAGAGAACGTTAAACAGAATTAAATCTCTGCCGATGTAAAACTATCAGATGGATTTAACAGTAAACTAGACTATAAGCACCAACCTGGTGTGTTTAACCTCGGTGTGTTTAGGGTCCAGTTATCAGAACTGGCGGTGGTGGAAACTACCAAGATAATAAGAAAGACACCAACACGACAGCTGATGGAGACGAACGTGTTTCTGAGAAATGATCTAATTCATGAATTCACCCGCTGGTGTGTGTTTGTGTTCTTTAAATACAGCTGGAAGGAAACGCTTGATGCTAACTAGCTAGCAACCGGAGTTGGCTCCTGCGCATGCGCACACATGACAGCCACTCGACCACAAATATAAATAAATAATAAATGAACAAACACAGTTTTTACTAAAATCTCTGATTCCGCCACAAACACGGGTCGAGACGAGGAGACGTCGTCTCCGTGAACAAACACTCGACCCGCGAACCCAGCGGACACTGATGTCATCTCAGCCCGGCTGCCAGTGAGGCAAGGCCGGTGACAAATTACACCTGACAACAGTCCGGAGCCGGAGCTCGCTGCCCCGGCTGTGTGTGTGTGGTCGCCCCGGTGCTGCTGCTGCCGCATCACGGCTCCCGCTCCCGAGTCAAACAACCGTGACAACGTAAACCGACGAACCGTCACTCGACTCCGGCTACGACCCCCGCTGTACCGAGCTAACCGCCGAGCCCCGGTCTGGGTCCGTTTAACCCAAGTTCAGCAGGAAACACGGGCCGAGGCGAGCGGGGTTCGGGGGAGCAGGGGTTAGCTCCGTGTTAGCAGCTACGTCCCCCCTCTGCCTGGATGTTTCCGGGCGAACTTGGACTAAACACGACGGAGAAACACGACTGTGACTCGGGTTAAAATCCCCCACGGCCGGTGAGAAAGTGAAAGGAGCTCGGTGACTGAAGTCCCGGTGTGATGCTGCTGGGCCACACACACACACATCCTCCTCCTCATGATGGTGGAGGAGGAGGAGGAGGAGGAGGAGGTGGTGGTGGTGGTGGTGGCCCCCTTCTGCTTCAAGTGTCGCAGCTTTTCCACCACTTCTTCGCCGCCGCCGCCACCGGCCGCTCACCTGCCGTCGTGTCCCGCAGATACCGCTCCATCTGCGGGAAAGTCATCTCGGGCAGATCCAGCGTCGCTCCGTACCGCTCCAGGAACGAGCAGACCTCCGCGAAGCTCGGGCACAGCGCCGGGCCGGAGCTCCTCACCACCGCCGGAGCAGCCATCTTTCCAGGCGGAGAGAAACGGGAGGGGGGGGCTCACTGCTGGATGCGACTGTGTGTGTGTGTGTGGGAGAAATGAATGGAGCGAGGCGGCCACCGGCGTCAAGAGCCGCGGGGCGAGGACGGGGGTGACTTCCGGAGAACACTTTCACACTAAAGCCAACAGATCTGGGTTCCTGCAAAGGGAAATCTAAACATTAAGGATTTAAAGTTCCGTGTAAACATTGAAGGAACAAGTAGAATTGTATATATATGTATTATCCATTCATTTCATTCACAACTTCATACAACATGAGTGAACAGTAATAAACTAAATATACACATATTGCACACCATACTTGTGTAGTCAGGTACAAC